ATTGTATGTGGCGCTATCAAGAGCTACGGCAAGATCGAACATTAGGATCCTAGCCATGCCGGCTGCTGAGAAGGACGTGAACAAGGGGAAAGGGAAAGGGAATGGAAAGAAGAAAGCGACAAAGGATATATTCACAAAGAATATCGTATATAAAGAGGTTCTAACTCCATAAAAGAGGTAATGCATCACACGTCGATACATATTTTTTCAGGATATCAATGGTACTTTAACTTTAAAAATTAACAAACAACTTATATGCAGGATACTTCTAACTATAGCTTCAGCCATCAGCATGCTTCAACTGCAAGAAGTCAGACGTCGCATCTTGGACTAGAAAATCTTCTGGATCATCATTGATTGGTGACCAACTGCAGCTTGGTATTTGTGCATAGCACGTTCTCTTGGTCGAACTATTGAGAGATTAGATTCTTAATTGTAGAATAGATTGTAAAACATGTATTGTGAAACATAAACTTGTTATGATTATCTTTCTGTAGCACTTGATTCCTAAAGAAGTGCAAGCTTATCTTTCGCGTATCGTAGGCATGAAGTAATACGACAATTGATGTTGATGTTTCAATTTTGCATTCAAATTTAGAGTTATATTTTAACTATCTATCTTTCGTGAAGACTTATGTAAAATTGATTAGAACATTATGATTGTGGTATCTATTTTAGATAACAGTATAACATACGCTCATATATATGTTATCGTGGTATTATGTGTTCCTGTTGCAACGCACGGCCATTTACCTATCAATAAATAAATCTGTCTAATAAACAGGGGTGGTGATATCTATTGTAAGTGGCGCTGGTGGAGATGGCTATGCGCTGGTCCTGGACGCCACCACGTTCCAAGAGATTGCACGCGTCAGGTTCCACTATGGCCTCCCCTACGGCTTCCACGGTTGTTGGATTCCTGGTCATCAAAATTAATAAATGGAGCTTTAAAAACAAAACCGTAGGAAGCAAGTGATCATACTAGACTATTTAGGGTAGTATGTATGTCAATTATACGCACATTATATGGTTGTACTTATTTTTATATATATACTGCTATATATGATGGCATTATAACACAGCATATATACTAAAAATGTATGGGCTCCATTAAAATTTTCACATAGCCAGATTTGAAGTATCTTAAAATAAGCATATAAACATATATACTCAAACTGATAAAAGAGTCCTGCTCCCCATGAGCACGCCTCCTAGGCCATGTGCGACCTGCCGCTGTAGCCCAAGGGCCGAGGTGGCTCGGCTACGTTGGTGGTGCCCGTCTATGTGAAAATACAGAATCCTCTGCTGGCAGGTGAGGGCAAAGTAGAGCTGCAGGTCTCAGAAGTAGAGATATCCGATCCTTCCTCTCTTTTGGGCCATTGGTTTATTTTCCTTGGTATTTTGTTTCATGATTCAAAGGTTACAACTAATCTGCAGAGCGAGCCAGCACACCATTTTCTCAAACCGTTGGCCCCTAAATTAGACGCCTCGATTGCTTCCTAAGCATCGGATCAATTTTTTTCCTAATGATATGGTCACCTTTAGTGCTTTAAATTTCTAAAGTTTCTTCCGATTCGATGTTGATTTCTATGCCCGTACTAGGAATACCTATAGGGAACATTCTATTTTAGGAGTTTCTGATCTCATAATAATCCTTCCAGAGACTGGTAGCTACGAAGAAGAACAATACCCCAATCATAGTTCATGTGTGAAGTAACTAATTGAATTGAGGGAACCCTCCACCACTGCCCTTCGCCCGGCCGTTCGGTCCTCGAGCATTGGACACTTCCCTCTTCCGCTGCCTTGCACCGGACCTGAGTCCTTTCAAGCAGTGATCAAGCATCATGATAGTGGCACAGATGGAGGACATCACTGAGGGTGAGGGGGTGCTCCTAGGATAGGATGACCCAAGAGCCTCAACCGGCCATGGATTGAGGGCACCTTCACCGGTTGCTGTCCGGATGATGTCCTCCCGAGCGCTTCTGCGAGTTCATCTTCATCCTCTCCTTGGTTGTGGTTGTTGCGTTTCCTTGTAAGTCTCTCCTCCTTCCTCGAAGCCTACCATGGAGCTCCCTAGCCTCTCCTCCCTAGATCTCAAGGTTCAGGAAGATGTTTGGTGCAAGTTTGGGGTTCCAATCTCTTGGCCTGATCTAGGGGATTGCTCTTACGCCTTGTTTGTTGCCTTCGGGTGTTGCAAGTTTCGCCTTTCCCTAGCCTCCATTAGTTTGATAGTCCAAGCCACCATTAATGGTGATGCTCATCATTTCATGTCTCTCTCCTAGTAGATAGAGTTTTTAAGCTCTCTTTGTGTCCACCAAAGTGGTGGGCTTTTTGTGCTCAAGCTTGCTTCGTTTGATTGTGATCTCTTAAAGCTCTAGTTCCATCTCTGGGGCAATGGTGGTTCAAATTGACAGCATGAGCTTGCTCTCTTCAACAAAGAAGAAGACTCTGCTTGGCATTCAATCAGTTCAAAATCTTCCATGAAGAAATCTTATGCCGAGGTCATTCGTGCTCCACCTCTTTTGGGTGCCAACCTTGTTTTGATTGTTTCCAAACCTTCCTGTGCTTGGATTTTTGATTGTCTACTCTTCCCTAAAGCTTTGGTCTTCGATCGCCTGGATCATGGCTCTTAGAAGCTAGTCCCCAATAGAATGGTCCTACTTCTGGTCAAAATTCTTCTTCAAATTCAAATCTTGGTGGATTACCTTGTCCTCGGCTCCCCGTTGCCTCTCTCTCTCGGTCATTGAAGAAGACATTGCCGTAGGACAATCAAATGCCTTGCGTGCCTCAATTGGGGACATACGACGGTCGTGTGTTTGCTGCGATAGGAGGTCGACACTAGCAAAGGGAAGGCGGCTGCCTCATTCACTCCAAGCTGGCTTTGGGACATGCCTCTCTGCTGATGGGCCTTGTGCGTCTAGGCTGCTAATCTTCAGGTCCTTTGGAAAATTTGATCTTGCTTTTTTTCCTTCCGACTCCTAGGATGCCAAGGTTCCCGAGCCCATCATCAATGTCCCTTGGGCACTGCATGAGCCTATGACTGGTGGACCTATGGAAGCCCAAACAACAGACGTGTGAAATATTAGTTTAGAGCCTTCTTCTTGGACGCTTGCAACCTCTTCGTTGCCTTCCTCAATGGTGACTGTCGCTCCAGCAAGATGCTTGTGACTTGTAAGAAGCAGACGTTAAGTAAAGAGGAGAGATGGTAAGGTAGATCAAGATGAAGTTAGGGTTAGGGTTTTCCTTACATGTGCAACTGGAGCACCGGAGACGTCATTGAGACCAAGATCCACAGATCTACGAGAAGAGGAGGGACCCTCTTGTTTCTTAATGGGGCTACTAGACCAACAAGATGTCTCGACCTATAGTTGCAAGAACAACAAGATGTTAAGGTAGTAGAACTAGATCAAGATCCATGGATCAACAAGGAGAGGAGAGAGTTCAGAGGGATATGGGATCAAGATGAAGTTAGGGTTCCACTTATAGCTTACCGATGCAATTGGAGCATCAGAGATGTCGTTGAAGACCAAGATCCACGGATCTACAAGAAGAGGAAGAGGAGACAAGGTTTTGGGGGACAGATCCGACAATGAGCTCATGGATCAACACCTGCCATTGCAAGGAGACTAAGAAAAATGAGGGGGTGGTAAGAGGAGAGATGAGACAACTACATATGGTCAAAATTGGTGGCTTTGGCCGTCAGAGTGGTAGATTTGGTGGCCAAAGATGAAGATGAAGGAAGGAGTCATAGCGAGGAGACAACTGGAGCTGTGAAGGCAGGAGGAGTTGAGGGAGTAGGCAAGCAACTATGGCGTGGGGCGCTAGGTTAGGAAGGAGTGGCCGGGAGGGGACTAGGCCGTGCAGGGGGGTGGAGGGGGGTTATTTGGCTATCGGGGTAGCAGAATGGAGTCATACCCACCATTAGGTCGTGTAGGCCAACATGCCATGCCGAGGGAGCGGCCCAGGCAAGGCCGCGCCATAGTGAGGCTAGGCCATGCCTTGGCCGGGGCAAAACCCCGAGCCATGGGCCATGTTGTCAGGCCGCAGTACCTTTGTCCAACTATGGTGGACCCTAGGTTCCGCCATGGGCCCCTTGGCCAAAGTGTGCATGTGACCAAGGCTGCACACACCTTCGTTGAGGCGAACCGTGATGGCGAGTCGAGGTGGAAAAACATTGGCATGCCGCACAACGTTGAGGGCGCGGGAGGTGAGGTTGGAAAAGGAGTGAACGATGAACGGATTGGGGAGAGAACGAAAGAGGAAAAAAAAAAGAAATTTTCACAAATATTAGGCTCAATGTCCACGTCACACTTATATACATTGCTTGGGACGAAATGCAAAGTGTCTACAGAGGCATACATACATAATTGGCCATCTCTCTTTTACATATCTATAGTCTCTGACACGGCCTGTATGGAAGATGCTTGAAACACGTTTTAGTAGATGGCGTCGTCTACGTTTAGTCCAAAACGCGTGTTTTAGTCTACGCGTCTATATCTTTGGTCCATAAACATATCGCGTGTGCAGGGAGTCAATGTCCATCATGGGCTCTGAGAAGACAGCCAATTGCCAATGATGATAATGCAACTGGAACTGGGGGAATCTCCACTGAATAATCCGGCTAATAAGTACAAGTGTACTAGTACGTTGTTAAGTTAAACAACTTTTAGCAACTTGTGTGAAATGAAAGGATTAATTAAATTAAAGTCAAGTCAATGGGTTTTGGATGCCCCCCATGGTGCCCACCAGTTGGCTGGCGACGCATGTGGGCATGTCGACCCTAGCTAGCTGCTACCTTGGATTAATGTCAGTGAACAGTGATCGTACGTGGGCACGACCTGGTCGTCGATGGAGAGAGTTTTGTCTTAGATGAACCAGTAGTAGAAGTCGTCGTCGTCGTCGTCGTCCCTCTCCCTCCTCTTATGTTTTGAGCGTTCTTGTGGCTAGTGCACATACTAAGCTAACCTCTAGCTAGCTAGCCATTACGTACTATTGGGGCGATGTGGGGCGTCCTGGGCAACGCGGCCACCGTTGCGCAGCTGGCCGGGTTCGACGCCGCCGGGCTCATCGCCAAGATCCGGCAGGCGGCGCGGACGGCTCAGCAGAACAACAAGGACTGTGAGCTCCTAGCACACCGCGTCGACATGCTCGGCGAGCTGCTCCCACGCCTGATGCGGCAGGACCCGGAGGCCGTGCGGGGGCTGGCCGGGCTGGACGGCACACTGTCGGAGGCGCACGAGCTCGTCATGTCCTGCCAGGGGAGAGGCCGGACGTACAAGTTCTTCACGGCCTCTAGGATGGCTGACAGGTTCAGGGACGTCGACAAGAAGATCGACTCCTACCTCTCGCTCATCCCAACAATCAGCTACATCTGCATAACCAGCCGTCTCGATGCAAATCACACCACCTCCCGTTCCCAATCCCAGCTGGTACTGGTAAGTGTTCATGATCTCTTTCTGTGCTTTGGAACAAATAAAGTGAAGTGATGATGCATGCTTACCGGATTGTCTTCCTATTGTTATCTTGGATCCATCCCCAGGAGGAGTCGGGAGCTGAGGGTCGGGAGTTCACGCTAGCGGAGATAGCGGTGGCCACCAACAACTTCGCCGTCCTGGTCAGCGACGACGCCGACTCTGGCACCAAGGTGTACAAGGGCAAGCTCCACAACGGCCCTGAGGTGGCCGTCAAGCGCCTCAACCGCGGGCGGCGAGGCGCGGAGGACGCCTTCTTCAAGGAGCAGCACATCCTGTCGCCGCTCCGCCACGACCACATCGTCCGCCTCTTGGGCACTTGTGCCGACAACGGCGAGCGCATGCTAGTCACCCAGTACATGCCCAACGGCTCGCTCTACGACCAACTGCATGGCCGCAGTCAACTGTCATCATCGTCGCCTATGACTGCGTCGTGGAAGACGAGCGTGCAGGTGCTGCTAGGCGCGGCGCGCGCTGTCGAGCACCTGCACCGCCACGCCATGCCACTCATCATCCACGGCAACATCGCCTCCTCCAACATCCTCCTGGACGCCGCTTGGGAGCCATGCCTGTCCGGCTTCGGCACATCGGTGTGGCGGGCGGCAGGCGTGGCGTCACAGGCCGTGGAGGTCACCGGCGCCAGGTCGTGCAACGGGTACGCAGACCCGGAGTACAGCAGCACGGGCCGCATCAAGCCGGCCAGCGATGTTTACGGCCTCGGTGTGGTGATGCTTGAGGTCCTGACGGGGCAGCCACCGGTGGTGAGTGTCTGGGACGAGGCGAAGCATAGCGTGGTGCCCATGTCCTTGGCATCGTTCGCGCTGCCGAGCATCCAGGCCGGTAGGCTCGGTGACGTGCTCGACAGGCGTCCGGCACCACAGCCGACGACCTGGCAGCAACTCCAGCCGCTGCAGCTGGTGGCTGACATGGCGGTGCAATGTCTATATCTCCGTGGGGATAACCGCCCCGCCATATCAGATGTCGTCGCCAACCTCGAGCAGGCGCTCCGTCTCATATGAAAACATGGACATTCTTAGTTATATATACATGTGAATTTGCTTGCCATTCAGCTATATCCTGTATGTGGAATATCTGCTCAAACTGTGTGTTGGATTGCTTGGTGAAGATTATAAGTTAGCTTACAATTAGTACCGGCCGACTGATATGTCGCAAACTCGCAACAGGCTAGCTGAGTGGAAGAACAAGTATGTGTCTAAATAAATTGAAGAAGACGTAATTAACACGCTTTGCACAATCCACCGGAGCGAGTACTTCACTAGGTTCTTTTTTGTCAAAAGAGTAAAATGTAAGGCCCATAGATGTACTTCTGTAAAAACTAATGCTGAATGTACAGACTCCTTCACGAGATATGATAATGCTGTGACAGCATTTAGTAATGACAAATCAAACAGATATTTATGTTTTGTTAACCACGCATGGGATGAGACTGAGTTATAATTCACACAAAAATTAAATGAACGAGATAGAGAACAAAAATAAAGTCAATGCTACCCTAGTAATATAATGCCTTATTCTTTTATACTTCGTGCGTTCTAAATTGTAAGATGTTTTGGCTTTTTTACACTACAGGAAACTGGCTCTTTGCCGACTGCAATTTTCTTTGCCAACTGTTTTTTTCGACACTCGGCAAAGAGGTCCCTTTGCCAACTGGAATTTCCTGCAGTCGGCAAGCGAGATTGCCGATCGCTGGCTTTGCCGATCGCCAGCGATTGGCAAAAATTGCAATCGGCAAAGGCAGCCATGGTTGACGCCATCCACACCGTCACCTTTTGCCGATTGCCACTCCGTCGTGATCGGCAAAAGCGCAGACTTTGCCAATCGCCATCCTCCACAGCGATCGGCAAAAGAATTTTATTATTTTTTTTTTTTTTCGATCCCGGTTTTTTGTGTTGCCTTGCTACATGTAAGTACATGATATATTCCAAGTTTGGGGTCATTTTGATTTATTTTGCTATATTCCGTAGATTTTTTCATTTCTTTGATTTTTTCCGGCGACTCAGATTTGAACTGCAGTACATGAAATAATGGAATCCGGCGATTGAAAATGATATTCATGATGTTTGGAGCATGTTGAGGCCGTGTGCGGGGCCTCGCGTGAAATTCGACCGTGTTGGTGTCGGAACATGCCGAAACCACGCAGCGTGAAAAGTGTTTTTAAATTTTATAAAATCGAAACGAGTCCGAAAATGACGAAACTTGACGACGTGTCTTGTCATCGCACGCGGGAGGTCAGGGTAAAATTTGAGAAAGTTTCGAGCAAGTGGCGGCGTCGGGTGGCTAAAACACGGACATCCGACACCAACACGGTCGAAATTTCACGCGAGGCCCGCAAGACACGGCCTCAACATGCTCCAAACATCATGAATATCATTTTCAAATCGCCGGATTCCATTATTTCATGTACTGCAGCCAAATCTGAGTCTTTAAAAATCAAAAAGAAATGAAAAATCTACTAATATAGCAAAATAAATCAAAATGACCCCAAACTTGGAATATATCATGTACTTACTTGTAGCAAGGCAACACAAAAAAAGCTGGGATCGAAAATCGAAAAAAAAATTAATTCTTTGCCGATCGCCATCGATGGCGATTGGCAAAGAGCCTTTACTGCATTGCCGGGGAGGATGGCGATCACAAAAGAATTTAGAGAAAAATCAAAAATAACCTTTGCCGACCGCCGAGAACAACGCGATCGGCAAAGTATTTTTAAAAAATTAAAAAATAATTTTTGAAAAAAAAAATAATAGACCTTCTGCCGACTACGTCACATCTTGGCGATCGGCAAAGGGAAAAAAAAAAAAAAATAAAAACGTCGCCTTATCCGCTCGGCCGCCCTCCCTCCCAAAATCCCTTGCCCCGCCGCCACCCAGCCGCCCGTCCCGATGTCGCCCGTCGCCCACGCCCGCAGATCCCCCGCCCCCTCCCCCCCCCTCCCCTCCCCTCTCTCTCTCCCACCGTGATCCCCTCCTCCTCCTCCCGGCCCACCCCTCCCCCAGTGGCCTTGCCCTCCCGGCAGGCCCCACATGTGGTCCCTCCCGTGTGGCACCATCCCAGGCGCCCCCCCCCCCAGCTCCCCCATGTTGGGCCACCCCATGCTCCCCCCCCCAGGCCCCCACGCTGGGCCCCTCCGCCTGCCGCCAGCCGCCCTTGAGCCCCTCACCGGCCCTGCCCTTCGATCTGGCCCGGCCAGTGGCCAGCGCAGCCTTGTGTCAGCTCCGCTGTCGGCCCAGCAGCGTGCCCAGCCTCACCCAGCCCCGCCCGCCGCCGCATGCTGCCCGCCCGATCCGGCGTGCCCGCTCCGCCGTCCGCGCGTCGTCCGCCGTCCGCGCGCCGTTCGCCGTCCGCCGGCCCTGCGTCGCCGTCCTCGCCACGCCGTCCTCGCCTCGCCGTCCTCGCCTCGCCGCGCCATCCTCGCCTCGCCGCGCCGTCCCCGCCTCGCCGTCCTCGCGCGCGCCTCTGCTCCACGCGCCGGTGACGCCGTCCGTGACGACGAGGTAGTAGTACTACTAGTAGTAGTAGTTTACTTTGTTAATACCTGCTTATATTCTTCTGCATGGATTGGAAATACATTTGTGGTTGTCGGCCATCGTGCCTGACATGTATATGTGTTTGTCGGCCATCGTGCCGTCTTTTCTTGCAGGTTTGGTAACCTTCCCGTACAGGGGAGGTGCTGCCGAAATTTTTCGTTCTCACTAATTGTTTTTCTTTTTTAGGAGGGCTCCCATTGGAGGCTAGCCGGAGGAGCACGACTCGGCACTGCCCCGCTAGCCTTTCTTCACCGGCACCTGCGGTATGACCCCTCTTTCCGCCACATGTAGTCATAGGTCGCGTTACCCAGTTAGGCGTCTCCGTCCAAAAGCGGATACGGTTGGAAGTATGCGTTCTTCAGCATATGTATAACCGTATCCGTTTGATTATCCACGTTATTTGGACAGCCCGAGGATGCGCAGACGAGGTTAGCTCCCATGTTTCGCTCCCGTCCGAGTCGGAGTTTCGGCAGGACCTCCCCGTTATTCTCTGGATACACACTCTCCCCGCCGGGACGTGTATCGGGAGAACAGCGGGAAAATCTTCCAAATTCCGTCTCGAACGGGAGCGAGCTGTGGAAGCTAACCTCGTCTCAGGCATGCTCGAAATGAGATTAGGACCTATCCTTCACCTATTAGATGGTAGGAGCGCGTTGTAGATGCACTTGCTTTGGTTTATCACATGTTAACATTGCCGCATGACGAGCATGGGTGACCGTGAGTGGATGTACTCGGGCTTCGCAAGTAAGAAGCCACGAATGGATCGAGGGGACGGCCGAGTTCTGGAGCATGCATTTGGCCCACCGCTAAAGGGTCGATTCGGATGCCGTGTCCCTGCAGCGAGTGCAGGAACAAGAAGAAGAAAGTAAAGGCTCAGGTGTTGAGAGATCTGTTCAAGCACGGGTTCGTTCCAAACTATACCCGTTGGTGCCACCATGGTGAATACCATCCTATTAGGGACGAGGTGGTGCGACCCGTCCTCGAGGAGTATGATGGCGATGCCGGGATGGCAGACATGATGGCAGACTTCCACGAAGCACGGTTTGGCGAAGGAATGGATGTGGAGGAAGATCCGGAGGAAACCGCGAAGGCCTTCTACGACATGATGGAGTCGGCACAGAAGCCCCTTCACGAGAAGACAAAGCTTACGCAACTGGATGCCGTCTCACGCCTGATAGGGTTGAAGTCGTAGCTGGGCATTAGTCGAGACGGCTTCGATCTTGTGTTGAGCATTGTTGGGGGACTGCTTCCGGCAGATCATGTCCTGCCGACGAACACCTACGCTACACAGAAGCTCCTTCGTGCACTTAAGATGCCGTATGAGGGGATCCATGCTTGTCCAAAGGGGTGCGTCCTGTTCAGGGGAGACCTCGAGGAAGCAAAAACCTGTCCGAAGTGCGATGCCTCTAGGTTCGTGTTGGTAGAAGGCTCTAATGGCAGCATGAAACAGTCTAAGGTCCCCGAGAAGGTCGTATGGCACCTTCCTTTCCTACCGAGGCTGCAACGGCTGTATATGACGGAGGAGTCCGCGAAACAGATGACGTGGCACAAGAATGGCAAAAGATACCATCCCCGACAAGATGGTACACCCGTGACGGTGGTGATGTATGGAAGCACTTCGATAACATGAATCTGTCAAGGCTATGGAGGCTCGGAATGTACGCGTAGCGCTGGCAACAGATGGGTTCAACCCGTTTGGAATGATGGCGGCCCCATACACTTGCTGGCCCGTGTTTGTGATCCCCCTCAATCTCCCCCCCGGCGTCATGTTTGAACCTAAGAACATGCTCTTGACGCTGATAATACCTGGACACCCAGGCGACAATATGGGTGTGTTCATGCGGCCGTGTGGGATGAATTGGAACTTGCTTGGGAAGAGGGGTACTCACGTGCATTTAAGGGCTACGAAGAGGAACTTCAGAATGCATGTGTGGTACCAGTATTCAATGCATGACTTCCTGGCGTATGGCTTATTCAGCGGGTGGTGTGTTCACGGGAAGTTCCCTTGCCCGACATGCAAGGCAGATGTGATGTTCACCTGGCTGGCCAAGGGCGGCAAGTTTTCTTCTTTTCGACAAGCATCGCCAATTCCTGCTGAGAACCATGAATTCAGGCTAGATGTAAAGCACTTCACGAAAGGCGTTCAAGTCACGGCCCCCATTCCGCAGAGTTAAGATCCCCGCCGCCCTTGCCGACATCTGAGCTCTCGAACTGAGGAAGCAGGTGGGTTTAAGGGATATATGCTCGGGACCACATGTGGACTCATATATCGGGCTTGACTAGGCTCCCTACTTCAAGGACCTTCTTCTTCCACACAACATCGATGTAATGCACACGAGAAAAAAGAATGTGGCCGAGGCACTCTGGCAACACTCATGGGCGTTGGCAAAAAGTCGAAGGACAACGTCAAGGCTAGATCGACACGGAGATGATCTGTGATAGACCAAACACGTGATGAAGACCCTGCGCCC